CTACTATTACTACTACAACTACAACTACAACTACGACTACGACGACGACGACTACTACTTCTACTACCACTACTACTACTCTGACTACGATTACTACTACTACTACTACTACTACCACTACTACTACTACTACTACTGCTACTACTACTACTACTACTACTACTACTACTACTACTACTACTACTACTACTACTACTACTACTACTACTACTACTACTACTACTACTACTACTACTACTACTACTACTACGACTACTACTACTACTACTACTACTACTACTACTACTACTACGTCTACTACTTACTACTACTACTACTACTACAACTACGACTACGACTACGACTGCGACTACGACTACTACTACTACTACTACTACTACTACTACTACTACTACTACTTCTACTACTACTACTACTACTACTACTACTACTACTACGACTACTACTACTACTACTACTACTACTACTACTACTACTACTACTACTACTACTACTACTACTACTACTACTACTACCCCTTACTACCTCTACTACTACCACCACTACTACTACGCACAGGTCGAGCACGAGGGGGGAGGGGATGGGTATGACAAGGGAGGGACTAGTTTTCTTGCCAGCCGAAAGCTCTGTTGGGGAGGGGCGGCATTAAAGAACTGGGTTACGATGGTCTGCCTCGTTGATTTGTGGCCCATTCTTGGAACCTCAGCCCAACAAATGTTGCCACCTCTCAGGGGCGCATCGTTTATTTCCGGCGGCCTTCCACCCGCGGAGCCGCCCCTGCCTTCCTCCCGCTGGCTTCCGCCGACCTTCCGCCGAGGCAGAGATGGCAAATTCCTTCGATCCTCGAAGGCGCGGCCCTCTCACCACGGGGACCTGCGGACGGGGCCACCCGGAGCAGGGCCACATGGCGGGGATGGCGGGGAAGGGGCCCGCACGAACGAACGACCACGGCACGAGACGCGTGGCACCCGCGCCCTGGTTCTCGCACGAGGGAGCGGCGAGGGCCAGAAGCACGGGCGGGGGGCAGAAGGCCGGGAGGTCAGGGAGGCCCGAGAGACTGCCAGGCAGGCGGGCGACGACGAACGAAGCCGACGAGCGGGCAGGTGGCGGGTGCCGGACTCCCGGAGCCCCAAAACGTCTGCATCTCTCGGGGGCACATTTTTTACTTCCGCCGCCTTCCGCCGCCCTTCCGCCAACTTCCGCCGGCGGCGGCGGCACAGTTTCACTTCCGCCGCCCTTCCGCCGCCTCCCGCTGGCGGCGGCATCTTCACAACCTGCTCTCAAAGCACCTCCTCGCTTGAGACATCCTGGCAATATGCGCACGAAACACGAGAGTCGGCGTTGCCAGAACAGCCCAGCCGCCCGAGACGTCCCCACAATCTGGGCATGAACGCGGGAGTGCTCTCGCCGCTGGCGGCTCCCCCTTGGGGTGCTGAAGACAGCGATTCGCTTGATCCATCCTCACAATCTGTTCTGAAAACAAACGATCCTGGGCCACCACGCAGGCAAACCGCCCGAGACATCCCGACACCCTGAACGTGAAAGGGGGAATGTCCCCACCCCTGGCGGCTCTCCGTGCGGGTGCCGAAACACGCGCCTCGATCGGGACATCCTCACAGTCTGATTTGCAACAAACTGTTCTGGGCCAGCACGCAGGCAAACCGCCCGAGACATCCCCACAATCTCTACGCGAACGGGGAAGCGTCCCCACACCAGGCGGCTCCCCCTTGGGGGTGCTGAAACCCGCGCCTCGCTCGAAACCGCCTCACAGTCTGCTCTGCGAGCTGACGAGCCTGCGCCACCAAGCAAACCACCCGCCAGAGCGCGAACAGGGGAGTGTCCCCACCCCTGGCGGCTCCCCATCAGGGCAGGAGAGCCCAGAATCGAATCGATAAGTCGAATCGGCGATCGAAATTAATCGGATCGGCGGAAATCGGCAGCCAAGTCGGAAGGAATCGAATCGGCTGAAATCGGCAGGCTTGTACGCATCCAGCGAGAAATCGGAACCCAAATCGGAATCCAAAGTCGAATCGAATCGGAATCGGAATCCATCGAAATCGAATCGAATCGAATCGGGGCAATCGAAATGAGCCCTGTCAGGGGCGCGGAAGCCAGCGCCTCGCTCGAGACATCGTCACAATCTGCTCCGCGAGCCGACGTGCCCGGGCCCCCAGACGGGCAAACTGCCCGAGGCATCCCCCCACAGTCTGGTCGCGAACAGGCGAGCGGCCCCCACATCTGGCGGCTCCACCTTGGGGTGCTGAAACCTGCGCCTCGCTCGAGAGATCCTCGCAATCTGCGATTCTGCTTGCGAGCGCGTGGCAATTTTGAACGAGCATGAGTGTGCATCAGTCTGGGTATGAGAGAGTCTGAGAACAAGAGACTCTGAGTTTGACTGAGTCTGAGCGCGAGTGAGCCTGAGTGCGAGTGAGTCTGAGAGTGAGTGAGTCGGGGTGCGTCTGAGTCTGAGTGTGGGTGAGCCTAAGTGTGATGAGTGAGTCTGAGTATGTCTGAATGAGGACGAGGATGAGAGAGGAGATGTGAGTCGGAGGCGTCTGAGAAATAACATGACATGAAGCCAACTTAGGATAGGGAACAAAACTCATCTTCAACCCCTCCCCGATGTTCCGCCTCCTGGCACCCAAAACCAGATGGGCAAAATCCGGTCGACGGTGAAATCCAGCCGAAGGCCAGCATATGTCTAGCCTTGCAATGAGTCTTGGGCATGGTGCCGGCCTCCAGTGAAGGCCGCTGTCACGATGCCGACCTTCCCGTCAACAGAACCCATGACCCAGACCATGCCTGGATTGTTTTCGGAGGACGGCATGTACAGTGTTCGACGTTCCCACTGAGACCACACATCAGCGGCAAGAATGAAAAACAAAGTCCGAGAAACCGAAGCCGACGGGAACGGTCCGTCCATGATCCCAGTCACAGACTCCGTCGGTGTGCTGCGGCGGTGCCGTACTGTGGGCGCCGTGGAAGAAGATGGAAGACGTGCGCACCCAGGGCGATACCCACGCAAAGCGGTTCCGTACTCCAGGCTGCGAAGACCAATGCCTCAAAACACTCCCTGTGGAACGATCGGTACCGATGCAGACACGAACGCCAAGCTTCCTGATACGAGGGAGCGGGGAGGAGGAGGAAGAGGAGGAGAAGGAGGAGGAGGAGGTGGAGGAGGAGGAGGAGGAGGAGGACGAGGAGGAGGAGGAGGAGGGGGAGGAGGGGGAGACGAGTCCGGCAACGCCAACAGCCTATCACATTGACAGAAAGGCGGCCAGGGCCCTGGACCGGCGGCAGGTTCGGGTTGAGGAGCAGCTGGACCTTGCGACGCGTGGATCCCTTCGCGACCGCTGCACTGACCTACTGCCCCACCACATCCAATGTATTGATAAGTCTACCCTCCTGTGTCCCTCTCCCTTTCTTTCGCACTCTATCTCTCTGACAATAAGTACATAAAAATATATAGCTCTCTCATGTCACACTCCCTCTTTTTTGTTTTGTTATCAAATCTCTCTCTCTCTCCCCGTCTCTCTCGCTCTCTCTGTCTGCCTCTCTCTCTCTCTTTCCTCTCTCCCTCTCTGTATATAGATTTCTCTCTCTCTCTCTCTCTCTATAGATATATATATATATATATATATATATGTATCACCGTGACCTCCTCGGTTTACCTCCCTCCATCACTCTTCCCCTGCAAACTAGAGAAATACATTTGCACGAGACATGAATAGCAAATCAAACATAGGAGACCTCATGTGCATATTCCGCGCGTTGGCATCGTCGTCATGGCCTTTATTCAGGCGGTGCGTAATCGAGATTGGCTGAAGTCGTACTTCGCCTATCTCGGACTGCCCACCTCCTCTTCTGATTGCAAGATTGACTCAGCATGGTGCAGATGCTCGTGTGTGCTACTACGTTTGGTGAAATCAGCAAACCGCAGGCTCACTCAATTGGGTGTTCATGTTGTAGTAGGGGCAAAAGACCAGCGTAAACAAAAACTGTCAGATGTCCGCGCGGACCAGTATTGTCCCCGCTGGACCCCTTCCCTGGCGCGCGAAGCGCGCCAAAGGCCGCGCCGGAAGCGCCACTACCGAGACCCAGCGTAGATCCGAGAAATCCGCGCGGAGCTCCGAAATGCTGTGTATGCCGCTTGTTTTCAGAAGAGAGAAGCAAGTTCCCAGGCTGTGTCATTCCAATCATGTTTGAGATAATATGCGGCGTATCCGCTGGTCCTGCAATCCTGGAGCAACTAGGCTGCGCGGCAGAAGCCTCAGCAGCTTAGCAAGCTTACTGATGAACAGTGCTGCTTGGCAGTTCAGCGGGACGGCAATATCCTTTGGAAACCTTGGCAACCAATCGCGGGTGATCTGTGCTGAGCTAACTCAGACGCCAGAATCTCAGAATTGCTCGAATAATTCCCGACGCTCTTCGGCTCTAAACACAGGCGTGCCGTAATCAGCAGCTTTGATCTTACTCGCTGGCGATCCTCTCTCAGCTATCAACGGGATCGTTCGCCAATGTCCCAACTCCATGCCTTGTTGCCGGAACGACAGCCTCACGCCCCCCGATCGTGCCCCGACTGTCGTCAGACGGCCTCCAAGATGGCCCAACAGACGACAACCATATCCCAGGAGGCGGCAATGAGGCCCCCAAAAGGGTCCAGGATGACCTCGAGAGGCTGCCAAGATGGGCTAAGAGCAGCCAGCAAGGCCCTGAAGGAGGCTCAGTAGAGTTCTCTAACTGCCAGCCATCCAACCAAAAAACAACATGGAAACGCAAGCGACTCCTGTTAGAAGAAGCCCTAGGACCCCCCCAAGATTGCCCCCGAGGCAGCTCCAAAGAACCTCAATGTGGACTGGGGGTTCCCAGAGGCTTCCAATGATGGTGCCAAAGATACTCAGAAAACAACGGATGACTACAGTCCAACAACAAAGCCGAATTGCGTGCGGCCAGACCGAATCCCCGATAAAAGGGCGCTCAAGGGGCTCCCGCGTGAGACCAAACTTAGGTCGGGCATGTCCTCCTACAGGCGGATCTTGGACGAAACCTAAAAAATACTCAAAAACAATGCCAAAACAAAGTGATGACAAATATTAGAGAAATCGTCCCGAGACTATTTTTCAACTATTTTTGAATACTCCTCCTGTAGAGCGGCCTGGGGAGCGTGATTGGGCCTCCAAGCCTCCAGCATGCCCCAAGAGGGGCCCCAAGAGGGCATCAAGAAGGGTCGCGGAAAGAGGAACACAAACGGACCCCCAGGAACGCGGTCAGCACCCCCCACCCCCCCCAAGATGGCCTCGAGATGCCCCCCCAGAGGCCCCCCCAAAGGCCACAAGGAGGCGCCCACGCACGCGTCCTGGGAGACCGCGACACGTTCCAGATCATGTTCACGGGAGCTGGCCCACGGTCAGGGACTCTCTCAGAAAATGGCTCGGAGAACGTGATGGCCTTCAATCGCTCCCGCATCGCTCTGACCCACAACCCAGACACAGTGGAAGAGTGAGCCGAGGGCCGCTGAACATCGCTGTCTCCCGTGCAAGCCGCCCGCCCCAAGCGCTGGGAGACAGACGTTCTTGGGGATCGTCACCGTGTCCCATGCCTCGATGAGCTTGGAGCACTTCAGGACGGCGTTCGCGCCACCTGCGACGGGGCCGTGCCGAGGAGCAGCGCGGGCATTGGGAGGGCGTCGAGGCCATATCGCTGAGGCAACGCACGACATGAGAGACTGGTCTTTGAATTCAATAAATTGGCTTTTGAGATTTCAAGAACCCGCTTCTGAACCCAAGCAACGGTTATTGATGTGCACCTACATATAACGAGCTGGCTCTTCGACTTCAGAGCACTGTTTTTTTTTGAATTCAGAACCACTGCTTTTTAGAAGTCGAGAACGATGCTTCGAGTTCTCCAAGGCGGGATCCCTGGAGACCCCGACCCTCTCCCCAGGGGCCGGCGCTTCAGCCCGAGCCGGTCCTCTTGACGGTCCCAGGGCCCAGCGTGGGGGGTCCCTGGGAGGCAGAGGCCTGCCAAGATGGCCTCGCATCGCGAGCTCTGCACGATGCGACCACGTCTGGGTAGGAACTTCCTCCAGCTCCTCCTCCTCCTCCTCCTCCTCCTGCTCCTGCTCCTCCTCCTCCTCCTCCTCGTCCTCCTCCTCCTCCTCCCCCTCCAACCCCCTCCTCCTCCTCCTCCCCCTCCTCCTCCTCCTCCCCCTCCTCCTCCTCCTCCCCCTCCTCCTCCTCCTCCTCCTCCTCCTCCTCCTCCTCCTCATCATCCTTGCGGCCTTGTACTCGGCGGATTCCACGGGAGGCGCGCCGCCCACCCGAGGGTAGGTGGTGGACGTGCGAAGGCACGACAATCACAAGAAAAAACACCCGGCAGCTAGAACGAGAGCCTCCGCACGTGGCCGAGAGTGCCAAGAGAAGAAAGACCCCCCACACCGGGACGGTTGCATCGAAATTCCAATCTAGGCTCCAAGCAAGTGAAAGTGAAAGGCGGGGCCTTACAGGCTCAAAGGAGGAGCCCTCCAATACACGCAAAAACGAGGCGGCCCCAAAGGACCAGGGCAGGCGGAGGCGGGCCAGCCGACAGGCGTGACTTAGGGCCCCCCCAGACGCCAAGCCCCCCCCCCCACCCGCACGGCACTCGGGTAGTCCAAGCAGTCCAAATAGGTCTTTCGGTCTGCCGAGCTAAAATTCTAACACTCTGGAGGGTCAGGGTCCAGAATCTCGACGCGCTGACCTCCCAACGTGATGCTGGATCCTGGCGGCGAAATAATTAGACGCTGCGTGAGTAAACTGCGCAAGCAACACGGCGTAGATTCACTACGTAGTGAATTTACGCAGTGCAGTTGCGTCGTATATGTACCTGGCGTAGTTACACAGTGTGCCTACAGGATGCATTCACGTAGTGTTAGGCTATGTCGTTACGTGCCGCATTCGCGGAACAACGCCCGCGGAGAATTCGCGGGCGGAGTAGTATGTCCAGCCGCTTTCCTGACCACCTGCGCAGGGCGTGATATTTGAAGCTGTCTCCAACCAGGCAACCCGAAGGCTGCGAACCCGCGTCGTAGTGCACCAGGCTTGAACAACAATTAGTTCGGAGAGTTCGCGGATCGCGGGGCTCATTCGGTTGCTGTTAGAACCCGTCCATGCGAGGCGTGATTTTCACGCCGCGCTGAGTGTAGCGTATAGCTGGAAGTTTGCTGTTTTCGGAGACCAGCGCAAACGCTAGTCGTATCGACGACGCCTTTGCAAAGACGACACGCGTGCATGAGAGGCTGCCTCCAACAAAGCAACAATTTTAAGTCTCGTGGTCAGGAACTTGTGAGCGTGTTCCTCTTCGGCGTTTCGACATTGCGCGGGAGGGGGGGGGGTCTGGCTCCGGACCTCTGCTTAGCGCGACTGTTTGAAACAGTGCGTCCTATGGGGGAGACTCCACCTGTTCGAAACGGGCGCCAAAAGCAGCCAAAATCTACTCCATGGGGGGGAAGGGGGGGGGGGCGAGGGCCCGCGCCAATCGGCAAAACAATTAACAAGAAAACGATCACCTTCAAGAGCCAAACAGAAATTGGCTCGGAAACCGATGCGCCCGGAGAGGATTTGGCGTCAGCGCGACTGCTTCTCTTGGCGGGGCCCACCGCCCTGTGCCAGACAGTTCGGCGCTGCGTCTGAAGAGATATTTCGCGCGCGGGGGAGGCCGCCACAAAACCGACTAATGTTCGAGCCTCGAAGTCAAAAAACTTCGAAAGCCGATGAAACTGGGCTCGCGAGCGCACCAGCGTGATTCGGAAACCGCTGCAATTCAGAGCAGGGTCTGGCGCGTTTCGACGTCCTGTGTCGGGGAAGTGCTGTTGCGCAGTGCGTGTGCGCCGTGTATTCGTGTAGTGTACATGCGTTGAGAGGGAGCGCCCCAGGAGCGGCCCATGAGCACCCCTCAAGCCAGATTTGAAGTCCCCGCCTGCAAGATACCCCCAAGGCGGCCCAAGATGGCGATTCGAGGTGCCCCAAGACTGTCTTCTCGAAAGCACAACATAGCCCAGAACGGCTCAATATGACTGCCCAGATGCTTCCCATTGGCCCCAAGACAATGCCACGACGGCTCCAAGTGGCCAAGGAGCCTCCCAAAAGCCAGAACATTTCAGAAATCTTTGGATCATGAATTGTCTTGCCTTCCCGCGCGTCCGCTTCCAGAGGGCCTCCGAGGCCTCAAGGTGGCCCCCAAATGCCCCAAGAGAGCCCAGATAGGAGTCCAAGAGGGCCCCAAGACGGCCTCAAGAGCACCCAACGAGCCCCCAGCGCCTGCCCCTGCCCCCCGAGTGCTCTCAACAACCGTATTGGGCGCACTGGGGTACGAAACGGGCCGGGTATTGAACGGCCCGCCGTACCTATCTCTTCGTGTTGGTACAGTGACGCGAACGTTCGATCCCTGCGCCGCCCTGAAGCGCGCTACGGGCAGAGTTTCGAAGCAAGGCCGGCCGTGGCGCCGAAGAGGAGCTCCCCGGCGGTTGCCAAAGGGCGCAAAAAGCCTCAGTTTGCTCCTCATCCGCCTTGCTCGGCTACACGAAAGAGCGACCCTGAGTAAGAGTGACCGTTGCTGCGCTGCTTTTGGGGGGGGCGCCAGGGGGGCCAACAACAAGCGTGCAGGCCGCTGCTATCGCATCGCATTCGGCGTTCGGGGGGGCCCAATGGGCCCGAACCAAAGGGCACTCTGGCAAAGGGTCACTCTTGCGTGTAGTCGACTTGCTCATCCTGCTGCAACTCTTCACTCTCTCTGCCCCTCCTCGATGTCTCCAAGGAGATATCCGAAGGCCTCGTAAGGACTCGGACTCGGACTCGCTCTACATAGCCGGAATGCTGACCACAGTGAAAGGGAGAGCGGTACGCTGCAAGAGCGCGGGCGTACCCGCCCTGAGCAGCGATGGCATGGAAAAAAAAGATTCGCTCAGAAGTCCATGTAGCACTTCTCCATAGCATCCCACATCTACTGATCAGAAGCGTTGGCCTTCCAATGTGCGCCCAATTCAGAATAAGATGCACAAGCGTCCGTAAAACCATCTTCCCATCTTCGAGGGGGCCTTCCCGTGCATTCCCTCCTCGCATACGCGCGTTCCAGCTCCCAGAGAAGAGCTGCGTGAGACCGTTCGTGCTGTTCAAATGGCAATAGCTTTCCGGCGCGTTAAAAGTTGCGTCTCCTGTATTGTCTCATCCCAACGCGTCCAGCTGCTATTCGATGTTCCGCGCCGCTCTCTGCAACTAGTTTGCCCAATATTCAACGTGATACTCTTCCACCTTCTCCTCCGCAACAGTCTCGTCATCAACATTGTCACTCGATGAGGAAAACGAACAAGCCAAACCCAACGCCGCCGACTTGGAAGGAGAAGCGGTTGGGATCCGGAGCCTGCCACAACCAATCACCATTCGAAGCATTGGGCACTGTCTTTTGATTAAGGCACGCTCTAAGTCTGCCGTGAGCGTTTAACAAGACGACCCGTGCAATGCGCACGGAGTGATCGCGGAGTCGAGAAGACGAAACCTGGTTCTCATTGGATACTTGTTGTTCGTCAGCTCGTCCTTTAACGCATAGAACTTTATCCAAGCACTGTGCATGTGGTTGTCTAATTCCGCGTTGTGGGCTTCCTGGAAAGATATCTCCCTTTCCGAAATATTTTGCAGAATCTGTCCTTTTGCGTAATTCGATGTCCATGCCACGCACTGAGATGCATTTCTGTGCAAATTCGCCCCTCCTCGTTTGCACATTGGTCAATATGTTCGTCTTGCCCGGGTGTAGAGATAAGCCGTGCGCACTGCACGCCGCCGCCACGTCCCCAAGCATCATCTTCAAACTCGCCAATGTGTTGCTCACTAGTCTGACGTCGTCTGCGAAGCGTAGATTCGTCAACCGCTGGTCCCCCGGCAAAAGTTCACAGTAATTTGCCAGCCGCCGAGATTTGAATGGCTTGAATATATACGCACAGGTGATCAGGGGCCGCCGGCCCGAAGGAGGAGCCGAAAGCGCCCAAAACACTGATCTCGGACCAATCCTCCTCACTGCTCCTCGACCTGCTCCTCCTCTACCTCCTCCTTCCTCCCCCGCCCCCATCCCTCCTCCTCCTCCTCCTCCTCCTCCTCCTGCTCCTGCTCCTGCTCCTGCTCCTGCTCCTGCTCCTGCTCCTCCCCCTCCTCCCCCCCACCTCCTCCTCCTCCTCCTCCTCCTCCCTCCTCCTCCTCCTCCTCCTCCTCCTCCTCCTCCTCCTCCTCCTCCTCCTCCTCCTCCTCCTCCTCCTCCTCCTCCTCCTCCTCCTCCTCCTGATCCTCCTCCGCCTCCTCCTCCTCCTCCTCCTCCTCCTCCTCCTCCCTCCTCCTCCTCCTCCTCCTCCTCCTCCTCCTCCTCCTCTCCTCCTCCTCCTCCTCCCTCCTCCTCCTCCTCCTCCTCCTCCTCCTCCCCTCCTACTCCTCCTCCTCTTCCTCCTCATCCTCCCCCTCCTTCTCCTCCTCCTCCTCCTCATTATTCCCCTTGTCCTCCTCCTCCTCATCCTGCAGCTCCAACTTCTCCTCTTTCTTACCCTCACTCGTCGTCCCCTCTTGCTAACCCTCACTCGTCGTCCTCAATCCTATGTACTCGTTCTCACTCCTGACTCCCTCTCGCCCTCCTACTCCTCCCCCAGCCTCGTCCTCGTCTTCCTCCTCTCTCCTCCTCCTCCTCCTCCCCTCCTCCTCCTCCTCCTCCTCCTCCTCCTCCGCCTCCTCCTCCTCCTCCTCCTCCTCCTCCTCCTCCTCTCCCTCCTCATCCCCCGCCTCCTCCTCCTCCTCCTCCTCCTCCTCCTCCTCCTCCTCCCTCCTCCTCCTCCTCCTCCCTCCTCCGCCTCTCCTCCTCCTCCTCCTCCTCCTCCTCCTCCTCCTCCTCCTCCTCCTCTCCTCCTCCTCCTCCTCCTCCTCCTCCTCCTCCTCCTCCTCCTCCTCCCCTGCTCCTCCTCCTCCATTCCTTCCCTTATCAATAACCTCTCCATATCGCACCCCGAGGCCAGTGTTTATGGCAGGCCCGGAGTGTCGCCTGAGACATCCTTACCATATATATATATATATATATAGACCCTGAAGCTTGAAAAGTGACAAAAACATCAAATATGGAGGACGGCCCGTTTTCAGAATGTGGCTCTCGCCTTAGCGCCGCGCACATTCGTGTTTTTAGAAATGCAAGAGTTTTACAGATGGAGGGCGGGTGGTTTTCAAAATGCGGCTCTTGCCTTAACGCCGCGCATATTCATTTCAAACATATGCACACAGTTCACGAATTGAGGGTGGTTTCTTTTGAAAAATGTCGCTCTCGCCTTAGCGCCGAGCACATTGGTTTTTAACTATTTGCAAGAGCTTCTCGGAAGGCGGGTCGTTTTCAAACTGTGGCTCTCGCCAAAGCGCCGCGCACATTCGTTTAAACAAAATTGCAAGCGCGGCGCACATTCGTTTCAAACTTCGCAAGAAGTTTGCAAAAGCTTCACGGGCTCCCATGGTCAGCGCACCAGAAATGGCGTTCTGGAAGGATTCCAGATTACGAGGGTGCGACAGCTACGTTGATTCGCGGTGGAGTCCCAAGCATGGCGTTCTGGCAGGATCAGGACCGTCAAGACGCAACAGTCAGGTTGACCCGTGGCGTTGGAATCCCGAGAATAATGTTTTGGAATACTTCAAGGTCTTCAAGCGGTCGTCTTCCAACGAGGCAGTTCCCTCAATTGAAATGAACCCTTGTAGGCGCCTATGAAGAGGGATCTCGGAGGGAGCGTTCATTCCAACATCGTTGATGACTCTTGGGTTTACACTGGTCCTCCTCCTCCTCCTCCTCCTCCTCCTCCTCCTCCTCCTCCTCCTCCTCCTCCTCCTCCTCCTCCTCCCCCTCCTCCTCCTCCCCCTCCTCCTCCGCCTCCTCCTCCTCCTCCTCCTCCTCCTCTCCTCCTCCTCCTCCTCCTCCTCCTCCTCCTCCTCCTCCTCCTCCTCCTCCCTCCTCCTCCTCCTCCTCCTCCTCCTCCTCCTCCTCCTCCTCCTCCTCCTCCTCCTCCTCCTCCTCCTCCTCCTCCTCCTCCCTCCCACCCTCGATCCTGCTCCCTCCTTGCCCCCTTTCCGCCCCCTCCCCAACCTCCTCCTCCTGCTCCGCGGCCGCTCCCGCGCGGGCGGCGCCCTCCGGCGGTGCGCGCGCGGCGGCGGTTGGCGGTCCCCGGCCCACGGTTAATCGCGTCCTGCGGGGAGGCTGCGATGCAGGTGTCGCAGGCCTAGAGATTGACACCAACACCAATTTTGGCGGTGTGCCTCCACCGGGGGAAGAAGATCCCGATCTCGGGGATGGTGGTAATATTTGGCTTCCAGGTGGCCGAACTATTACCACCAACACCGAAAATCTAGGATCATCTTCCCCCTGTGGAGGCAACCCTCTGCCTTGGTGTTGGTGCCAATTCCCAGGCCTCCGAAGGTGGGAGGGGGCTTCGGCGGCGAGCCAGGGGGGGAAGGTGAGAAAGGGGCGGGCTTTCTGAGAGGCACGGGAGTCCCCCCGCCTTCGGAGAAGTGTTCTGCGTGAGCCCTCCCCGAAGGCACAGCAAGCCTCTCAAAGGCACGAGGGCTTCTGAGGAGTCCCGCCCCCTTCTGAGAAGGCCTTCTCCTTCTCGTTTCCCCCCCCCCCCCTCGCTAACCGCCGAGTGGGGGTTGTGATCGGGGCGGGATGGGGGGCAATCGGGCCCCCATCGGCGATGAAGGCCGATTGGGGTGGAGGCCTCCCCCCAGAAAGGATCCTCTCCGACGATCTGCCGTCGCCAGGCCTGCGGGTCACGACTCGGCCCTCCGGGCGGCCGTTCGGTCGGGACGGTCCCCGGGCACCCCCGGACCGCTCCTGGCGAGGCGCGGCTGCCGGAAGGCACCCCGAGGCTGGAAAACCGCCGAGAACCAGGGGGGGGGGCATGTGGACGGGGGAACTGCGCGTCGGGGAGGGGGCACCGGGGAGGAGGAGGAGGAATAGGGAAGGGGAAGGGGCGGCGGGGACGGGGGGGCGAGGAAGGAGAGGGGTGGAGGGGAACGGGGAAGGGGGGAGAAGAGGAGAGCTCCCCGTCACCCGCTTAGAGGGCCACGCGGTGAGGGAGGAACCGCCCGTGGGGTCTACGAGAGGACGGCGGGGTGGGTGCTGGTCTTGGCGCGAGACCACTCAGGGAAAGCATGCGAGATGCATGGTATGGAATAAACGGGCGCAAACTGAAACCATCGAGTAACCCGTCGCGGCACAGGTGAAACACGGGACGTCCGAGAACAGAACAGAAGACGCCGTGTGTAGCCCTCGAACACGCGTAGCAATTCATCGAGTATCGAGCCGACTGGCCACCCAGAACGCCACGAACAAGGAGGGCTGCGCCGGACGTTTCGCCTGACGCGACGCCTTCTCTAGGCGCTTTGGGGTGCCCGGGTCTGCAGGGCCTTCCCCGAGCCAGGCAGAACTCGCCCAAAAACCCACCTGCGCTCCCCGAGGACATCTCACAGGGAGAACCAGCCATAACACCGAATGACAAAGGCATTGACGAAGCTTGGCCTCGAGTGTCAAACGGGCATCCATGCGTGGCAGCGAACTGCGCAACTGTCGCCACTTTCGTGGGTTCCTGGGAGGTCCAGCGGAGTGGAGTGGCACGCAGACCCAGGAAGGACCTCGCAGCTCTCTGCGTGGCTGCGAATTGCGCAACTGTCGCCACGTTCGTGGGTTTCTGGGAGGTCCAGCGGAGTGGAGTGATACGCAGACCTAGCTGGGATCTCGCGGCTCCCTGCGTGGCTTCGAAATGCGCAACTGTCGCCACATGCGTGGGCTCCTGGGAGGTCCAGCGGAGTGGAAATGCGCGGGGAGAAGTTGGGACCTCGCGGCTCCCTGGGGGCTGCGGAGTGCGCACCTGTCGCCACGTTCGTGGTCTCTTGAGAGGTCGCGCGGAGTGGAGCTGTACGGGGATGCAGTTAGGAGCTCGCGGCTTCCTGGAGGGCTGCGGAGTGCGCAATTGTCGCCACGTTCGTGGGCTCCTGGGAGGTCACGACGAGAAGTGCCACTGACGAGGAGTACTCGCATCCCACATGGCTGGGGATGCCATAGCGCGCGGCGCTGTCCCGTCACGCAGCCCTCGGCCTTGTCATATCGCAGCTCGCAGGGAGCCGCTGCGCCACGTAGCGCATGGCGTTGATTTTTGTGTTTTCGCGGCCTCCCATCATCAGCTGCCTCTGGCCCGCCATGCCACCCCGCCCTGTTCCGCTCAGCGCGACGCGCTGTTCTGCTAGAGGGCGAACGCATGTCGCTGGTCTTTCTCGCATTATGTAGCGCTCCACTGCTGCTGTTACTGAACATGTACGTCCAGCCTTCATACCGCTCTGTGCGCTTATGTATCCGTCTCTTCAATCCTTATTCACGCATGCTTTCTTGCTCAGGCTGTAAGACGCCTTCTCAGTAGGCCCTTGGGCCTTCCCACGAGCTTCTTGCCTTCTAAGATCCTCCCCCAGGCCTTCTCAAAATCGGCGGCGAGCCAGGGGGGGGAGGTGAGAAGGCGAAGGCCTCTTCAGAAGGCGACGAGACTTCTCAGAAACCCGCGTGCCTTCCGAGAGGCTTCCATTGTTGTGTCTTCCAGGAAGGCGCAGGAAATTTCTCATACACCCGGGGAACTGCCAAGCCTTGTGAGAACGGTGGCCCCCTCTCACTCCCCCCCCGGGCTCGACGCCGACTGGAGGCCGCCCCCCATCGGCGCCGCCCCCGTGTGCGCGCCGCCAACAAGAACACCCCCCCGATCGCGCGCAGATGTCCAGAGAATCCTGTCGGGGAGACGTACGACTCGGGTACGGCAGGTTCGCGTCGTGCCGACCCCGGCGTTGGTTTCTGACACCGCGGGGATCGTTCAACCTTGAACGATCGGCCCTTTCCGAAACGTCCAAATCGTTCCACATCGAACGATTCTGGGTCGCCCGCGGCATTCAAGGTTGAACGCCGCTGGCGGGGTCGCAGCCGGTCGACACGACACTAACCTACCGTACGGGGGACTCGGGTTGGCCTGACGGGGCCACCACGAAAGTGACGACACCCGATCTGCCATCTGACGCGAGCCCCCGCTGCGAGCATCCCACGAACACCGGGGCGTCAAGACCCAGAACGCGCTCGTCAAAGAGTGTCGGCAAACCCGAGCTCCGGCTCACTCGAGTCGTACGTTTCCCCGGTCCTGAGGCTGCTGAAGGGGCCCTGGGACACACAAATAAATACACACAAATAAAAAGGTTCCCCATATTTTCCTATACTTTCTCGGTTTTTGTCTTCCCCACCACTTCCCATATTTTCCCATATTTTCTGGGGGATCGACGATTAATTGTGTCTGTGTGTTTTTTTCCCTCCTGAGCTACTTCCGAAGGGTGGCGCACGCGCGGGCCGGCCAAGGGTCCTGGATGTCCTCCACCGACGGCACCATCCGCACGCCGAGGGGCTCGAGCTCCAGGTCGACCTGTGCTGCTCCACGGGGCGGCGGAGGAAGAAGAAGCCGGAGAACACGAGAGTGAGAGGAGCACGAGGAACCAGAGCAGGAGGAGCAGGTGCAGGTGGAGAGGGGGGGAGGATAAGAAACGGACGAGAGCAATGGAGGAGCAGCCGGAGGTGGACGACGAGCAGGAAACGTGGGAGAAGCAAAAGAAAAAGAACGAGGACGAAGAGGAGGAATAGGTGCCCGCACTGTTATCGACTGTCGACTGCGCACGCCCGCAGGTCGACACGGTCGGACCATATAACAATTCACACACGACACAGCCTGACGCGGCCAAACCAAATCGCGCAAGAGCTGACCGTATCAAGCTAGACTTCCAGGACTAGACAAATCAAAACAGGAGGGCTTGTCGCTGGTCAATTTGCGGAAGGGAAAGCTACTCGCGAAACGTCGGGAATATCGAATACTCAGAATTGTACTGATTCGGAGGCGACAGAAGACGGTGACGCTGGCGAGAAGTGAGGAATGAAGAGGGACGGATTTCAAAAAGGTGGTAAACTTAAAACAGGGTTTGCGTATTGCCCGTCAAGCCCATGGGCGAAGGTTCTCAGCGGTTGGAAACGTCACTTCGACATGAAAGATCAACTGCCCCAGGCGCGTTGGTTTTCGAGCGAGGCCCTGTCGTGCACACCAGCTCCTGGCCTCGATCAGAACCGGTGTGGAAGGATCCTGAAACGACTCTGGATGGAAGAAACAACATAGATGAAGACTTTGTGAAACAACATGCGGGCACTGTCTCACCCTCCTTCCAGCGCAAGCACGGGACAGGACCAGACGACCAGAGCCGAAGAAGAAGAGGCGGAGGAACGAGCACAACGGCATCCTGCCAACAGTGCTCCAGCCAGGCTGAAACTCGAAAGGCTGAAGCCACTCCCCCCACCCTTCGCCTTAGCCGCTCCTCCTCCCCGCTAATGGGGATGAGCCGCCAGCCGACGTGTCAAAACCAACCCAATGCCAGCGATAATTGGGTCCTAACATAGAGTGTTGGCGCGCCCTGGCCAAAACATAGCCCGGCTCATCATAAAACGACCATGCGCGCAACCTTCCGCGCGAAACGCAGACAAGTCCGAACCTGTTTCCTTTTGGCTGCGCATGAAGGTGACAACAAACAACGAATGGCACCGAATCGCGCAGGTTGGTTTCAATGCGACAACGCGAAGCAGCCGCTGGAGGGCAGGCATCCAGGATGCCCCCAGATAGGGCCCCGGGGACGTCCGAGAGTCGCCAACTGGGGCCCCCAGGTGGTCGTTTTCTTGCTCGTGGTTTTGCCGATCGGCACGGGCCCTCGCACCCCCTCCCCCCCCCATAGAGCAGATACTGGCTGTTGTTGGCGCCCGTCTCGAGCGGGTGGAGTCCCTCCCCCATGGGACGCACTGCTGCAAACAGTCGCATGAAGCCGAGGTCCAGAGCCAGACCCCCCCCCCGCTCCCCCGCCCCCCCGCCCAGTGTCGAAACGCCGAGGAAGGAAACGCTTACTCCACGAAAAACCCACCAGGTCCACATTCTGAGACGCCGCTGCAACCACCGTGCTTCCACGAGGAGTGCGGCATGAGGAACGAAGCTCACTTTTGACCCCAAGAGCGGCTGGGTACGCGCGAAGGGGGACAACCATGGAGGGACCTGAGGAACAGTGAGCCCCCTCTTTTAGGGGTCGCGGGAGGGTCAACACTCAGGCGCGCAAGACGCTACTATCGCTTCGCCTTCGGCGATCGGGGGACCCCAATGGGCCCGCACCAAAGGTCACTCCAGCGAGGGGTCACTCTTACGTGTCGTCGAACATGGGTAAGGAGCCGAACTCTATACACCGACGCTGTTTCTAGCCCCGCACTGAAACTTGCACAAGAAAGCGGATCCGGGTGTGTACGGGACCCTGGTGTTTTCATGTTTCGTTGCTTCCCCGGGAAGACGGGGGCAAGACAAATATGCGCCGCACCAGCCCGACGTCGCCCCCGACCCTCAGAAAGTCCTGGGATGGAAAAACAGCCCGCCACTGGTAGTGTATATTCGGGCCGGGCGAAAGGGGGGGATAGCAAAGGGGGGGGGGGGGGGGGGGAGAATCAGCTCACGTAGCTGATTTTCCGGGCGCCTCCCGGCGCCGGGCGGCGCACATGTATCGAGGACTGCGGCGGGGCCGAAGCCAACTGCACGCAGCAGATTCCGTACCCCCCCCTTTCCCAATCCCCCCCTTTCGATCGGCCCGAGTATGCCAGGGCTCCCAGCTTCGCGCTCCGCGCTCCGCGAAGCGCGAATCGCTCCGCGCTCTCGCGCCGCCCCCCCCAAAGGGAGCAACGGAGGACGAGGAGGAGGGGCAGAGGGCACGAGGACCGCGCAGCGCGCACAACTGCGCGCCCTCGTGGGAGCCCCCTGGGACTATCTGCTCCAGCTTCCGACTCGGCTGTGCTCCCGCCCATCCAACCCTACACGGGGATTTTGTCGACGAAAAAAAAAATACCCCCAAAATAATCAAAAAGTAGTCCAAACATAGTCTGGGGACTATGTTTTGCGCATTTGTTCTTGATTTTTTGTATGCTTTTAAATATTTTTGAATAGTTATTTGGCTATTTTTTGGACCCGCGGCCCGCCCTCGCGGCCCGCCCTCGCGGCCCGCCGGCGCGGCCTCGCGGCCCGCCCGCCCTCGCGGCCCGCCGGCCGCCCTCGCGCCCTGCGGCCCGCCCTCGCGCCGAGCCCGCCCGCCGAGCCCGCAGCGCGCCCGCCGCGGGCGCCGGGGCCCCGGTCGCTGTGGATGCCACGGCAGTGGGCACCCTAAGAGTCCTTAAGAATTGTCATTGACTTCGAAGTGTGTGCAACATGTAGGAAAGAATGCTCTGATCATGTCTTCGACACGATTCGGAATCTAGGAAGAATGCTCTAACAATGTGTTTAACATGTGGGAAATACTGCTCTAAACATGTTTTAAACATGATTCGAAATCTAGGACGAATGCTCGAACAATGTGTTTAACATGTGGGAAATAATGCTCTAAACATGTTTCAAACATTTGTTAGGCATCTGGAAATCATTTGGCAACATGCTTCCTCTCCATAGATCGTCCTCCACAACCCTATCGTCCTTGCCGGAGGCGAGGCGCAGAACTTATGGGGGCTGGATTGAGGTCGGGCATGTTCTCCTACAGGCGGATTTTGGACGAACAGTGAAAGATTCTCAAATAAGAATCAAAACTGGTCAAAACAAATATATAAAAAAAGTCGTCCCCAGACTATTTTTTGACTGTTTTGCAATACTCCTCCTGTAGAGGGACACGCCCGACGTAAAGCTAGATCGGGCCACTGGGGGCCATCGCCCTTGCTCCCTCCCTGGCCTCGCCCTCGGGGGCCGGGGCGGGAGGCCACGGTGAAGACCGGACGACGGCTGTGGGATGCGGTAGAAGAGGAGGAGCTCCCGGGGGGGGGTAGACCATTGGGGCCTCGCTGCCGGCCCGGAGCGGGGCCTGGGCAGCGAGGGGGAGGACGCGCGGCGCGATGTGCGGCTGCCGCTCCGACGTCGCGGCGCGGGCGCGCCATGGACGCCCGCGCAGAGGGAGCTCGAGCCGTGGGCGCGACACCGCCAGGAAAAGGCACGAGTGTGACGCTGCCTCGGGTTCAGCAGTCCGTCGTGGCAGCACAGGAACAGGTGGCGAACACAGAAATCAGCACGACTCCCTCAGCCATTGCTGTCGTGCATCGTGGCGCTGAGCAACGTCGGAACCTGGCGTGTGACTCATATTGCACCTTCACCATCTGTCGAGGACGAGCGCTCCCTCAAAGGAGGGAGCAGGTCCAGCTAGCAACCCCCAAAGCCCGCACGCAGCAGGCAAGGGGGGCCCAGACTTGTCGTATACGCGCGGGGGCTGTCGGGCGGGCCCTCGAACGGACCATGAACTCGGAGCGCAGAGCCGTGCGAGACTGCCGACGTTTCTCCGCCAGGCGCCCAACCCAGACGCCTAAACCTGAACGACGCGAGGGCTCGAACCCCCTTCCCCGTAGCATCCCCAGAAGACGTATGAGAAACAGCAAATGGTCCTGGCGAAAGACCCAACCATATATAGGCAGCTGTGAGTACCGCGTTGTGGGTACCGCTCTCGGTGGAACCCCCTATGGAGCCACGATCCTCGTGAGGGGTGTGCCGAAATAGGCGGGGGGACGCATGCAAACCCTGCCGCTGGGGCCTTCGGTGGAGCCCCCTATGGGGCCACGATCCTCGTGAGGGGTGTGCCGAAATTGGCGGGGACGCATGCAAACCCTGCCGCTGGGGCCTTCGGTGGAGCTCTCTATGGGGCCACGATCCTCGTGAGGGGTGTGCCGAAATTGGCGGGGACGCATGCGAACCCTGCCGCTGGGGCCTTCGGTGGAGCTCCCTATGGGGCCACGATCCTCGTGAGGGGTGTGCCGACATGGTGGACATGCGGCGAGCAGAAGCAGGAATGGGAGGAGGAGGGGGAGGAAGGAGGGGGCAGCGGAAGGAGGTGAGACGCGTGGCGCTG